TAGATTGTTCAAAGATATTATATCAAGTAAGAGGACTCAATTTGTATCAAGATTTTAGAAATATCTTTTCAAGATTCTAAAGGTTGACATAAAACTATCTTTTACTTTTTATCTTTAAATTAATAGATAAATAAAGTGTATAAATAAAGTTTTAGAATAATATTTGAGTTGTAATATCAACTACCAAAAAATTAATTTGACAACTTTCTTGCCAATGGCAGAACTTGTTTATAATGACATGGTACAATCTTCTATTCAAAAAATATATTTTTTTTCCAATTATGGTTATCATTCATGACTTGATGATTTTAACTTCTCAAAATTTGATAATCTTGTAATAGAAGATTTGAAAAATTATTTAAATGAACAACATACAACAATGAAAGAACAACTAAATAAAGCTCAAGAAAAAAAAAAAAAATCAATGTAAATGTTCATTGCAAGGAAAAACCTTAGTTCTACATTAGGAATAAATTATGATTACTTCATTATTATATCAAAATTATTTGTCAATGTGATAAGTTGAATTATTATAGACTTTAAATATTTCTTGTATATGAACAAATCAATCTAATTGTCTATCAATTATATCTACTAGAGTCTATGAAGATCCATCTCTTATTTCATGTATCTCTTCTTGAGCCATATAAAACAATAACTATTTTTAAAAAAAAGACAAATACAATCACCTTTAATAGAAGTGGATAATAAACAAGAGTTTGAGGTGGAAGAATTCTTAGACTCAAGGTTGCACTAAAATAAGTTAGACTATTTTTTTCCTTAAGGTAGATATAATATTAGTGAACGCACATGGGAGACAATAAAAAATCTTCCAAATACAACAAAAAAAAAATCAAAGCTTTTTATCAACAACATCCATCAAAATCAAGATGAAGAATCAAGTAAATCTTTGCTATAAAAGAAAAGATGTTCAATGAAGATTGCATCCCATCTTTTATCCTTCATTATAATTTCTTTATATTAGTGGCAATAACAAGATGAAGAATCAATAGCCACCAAATTCAATTCAAGAGCTACTAATTGTTGACTTATCAAACAAGACATGGCAATTGTCATAGCCTTCAAGATAATATAATAAAATTAAAGACCTTCAAAAATAACATATTTTTTCTTGCATAGACAATAAAATATAATATGTTTGTTATCACAACTTTAGAAGAGATTCTTGATGTTTGATGATTTTATTGGAGGTAGAAATGACTCCTAATGGTATTATAAATATTTTATTTGAAGAAAGTAATGAAGGCCTCAACAATGATTAAATATCAAGGTTGTCTTCCCTCCTCTAGAATGGGATATTATTAATGGCTAAGAAGACCTATTAACTACCTTCAAAAAAAATAATAATAAGTGTATGTGGCAAATATAATTTGTCGCATTTTAGACTTCATCAATATGTGATCACCACTCTTCTTGGAACTCATTCCTAAAAAGAAAAATAATATTACAGATATAAATATTTACTTTAATAATTATTTAGATAATATAAATAGATAGAAGTAAGTAAAATAGATTAATTTGATAATATCTTGTAGAGAAGCTTCCTAAAAGCTTTATAAATGCACTTTCACCTTCATAAGTATCAACAAGTGATTGATAGATTAGAACCTGCATTTATAAATTGGACATATATTATGTGTTATAAATTGGACATATATTGGAAGTCCTGTAGAATATTACCACATAGCTTAAATATAGATAGTATATATAGAAGTAAGAATGAAACCTTTTTCTTACTTGTTAACTCCTTTCTTGCTACTAGTCTAGTTTCAAGGGCCTTTAGTTTTTTTAACTTTTGGAAATAGCTATTCTAGTTTCTTTTTTTAATATACATACTTTTTTATTTTTGATGTCTTTTTTTTTTGAAAAAAGTCTCAATTATTTACTTACCTTCATTGAACTTTTTTCCTTTAGAGTGACTTCACCAACACTATTTTTTAATTATCCATGTATGCTTTAACGACAACTTGTCATGTAAGAAGACTTGTAAGTGGTTCTAATCCATTAATATTTAGTAACAATTTCCTATGTATTGATTTTTATGTGCTTTATCTTTAATAGAAATTTTATTTGTCAATCTTTTTTCACTATGATATCTAGTTTGTAGTCAAAGGTTTTGATGGTTTTATTGTTCCTTCCAATTGCTTATCATAATGGTGATACAAAACTTGGTTGTATTGATGATGATGGTAGATGGTGGTGATGGTGTTCAATGATGCGCCTTGGATTACAAGAGTTCCAATTAATGGGGCTCAAAATGAATCCGCTCAGATTGTAATACTATTAACAAATATACCTCAGGTTAAAACATTAGCAATTAAAAAAACTCGTGGACCAAATAAGCAACTATGAAAGAAGAAAGCTATAACATATGGTGATTCTAGTATTTTCTATGGAAGTTCCTACTACACCTATAGGACCATCAATTAATGAGAATATGTCCATGCACATTATACCTTCACCTTATGTAATAGAAAATCTTAAAATTGAGAGGAATAAATCGAAGTTGAATATAAAATTATCTATTTTATGTTGTGTTATAAATGACCTTTGAGATAGATCATCTATTATAATAGATGAATCATTTGCATTCATGATTGCAGAAGCTTTTTTTTACAAGAAAGAGGATCTTGAACCTCAAATCATTTAAGAAGCAATGTATTGCTCTAACTCATTAAAATAGAAAACTGATATTGAGGAAGAGTATGCTTCTTTGCATAAAAAGAAAGTCTTTGGTCAAACTATAGACACTCTTACTTTTTACCTTGTAGGATATAAGATGGTATTAATACACAAGCGAGATGCTAAGGATCAAATAATCTACTATAAAGCTCATCTTATTGCCCAAGGATTTATCCAATGGTTTGGCATTGATTATAAATCCACATATTTTCTAATCATGGATTCAATTACATCCTGATATATTATTGGAATGGCAGTTTATGCCACCCTTGAGCTACAACTCATGGATGTGGTAACTGTATATTTCTATGGTTCTCTTGATGTAAATATTTATATGAAAGTTCCACCTGGTTTGGAAACAAGAACTCCAAATATACCTACTCCAGGATGATATTGTGGTATTAAATTATACAAGGCCTTGTATGCTCTAACAGAGTCTAGACGCATGTGGTATCAACATCTTCAAGATTATTTAACTATAAATAAATTTGTAAGTGATCTATTAATCTCTTGTTTGTTTATTAAACGAGATAAAATTGGTTTTGTGATCATCACTGTATATGTTGATGGTCTTAATCTAATGGGTACTAAATCTGCATGCATTGCAGCTACTAATCTACTTATTCATGAATTTGAGATAAAAATGCTAGGAAAAATAACTTTTTGTATTGGTCTTCAAATTATGCATCTCACAGATTGTAGCATTTTTCTCTACCAATTAACATATATTAGACAAATCTTACAAAGATTCAATATGATTGATGCTTCTCTATTTTCCATACTAATGGTTGGGCGTGGTTGTGATGGTCATGATCCATACCGTTTATGTAAGGAAGAAGAGGAAATATTAAGAAAACAATATCCATACCTTGTAGCAATTAGAATACTTTATATTTAGCTATATCTACTAGACCAGATATTGCATTTGCAGTTAGTGTTCTTGCAAGACAGAGTACATGTCCAATACTACAATATTGGAATGGCGTCAAACATTTATTATATTATTTAAAAGGCACTAAAGATTTGAAATTATACTACACATGATCTGCAGATCCAAAATTGGTTGGATGTTCTAGTGCAAGATATAAATTTCATATTGCAATAGCTAAATCTCAAATAGGCTATGTATTCTTAAGACATAGAATTGCAATATCATAGAAATCAATGAAACAAACTATAACTGCAACTTCATCCAACCATGCAGAAATTTTTGCCTTACATGAAGCATCTTGAGAATGTATTTGATTGCAATCAATTGATAAATTCATTCACATAATCTATGGACTTTTATATGATGATTCTCCAACTAACTTGTATGAAGATAATAGCACTTGTGTTGTACAAATGCAAATTGGTTTCATTAAAAGGGATAGGACAAAGCATATTGATTCAAAATATTTTAGTTATACCCATGACTTGGTAACTGATTAAGTACTTAAAATCAAGAAAATTGAATCTGCAAATAATCTTGTTGATCTCCTCACCAAAGCTCTCCCTTTGCGCAACCATCGCCATCTTATTTATGGCATTGGCATACGGCGACTTATTTTTCTTGAGCAAGAAAGCTAATACACTCTTAAGATAATGTTGTACTCGTTTTCCTTCATCTATGGTTTTGACCTTATTATAATAAGGTTTTCCTAGATAAGGTTTTAATGAGGCAGCAGTTGTTGATCTTACGAGATTACAGAAAAGTATAGATCATAATTCTATGCATATAAATATTATGTAGCACATGCTCTTCATAATATTTACTCTAGCTATAGTGTTTCAATTGTAGTGGAGAGAAATTGTTTATCTTCTCCCCTTTTCTTTGTATACAAGATATAATCCTATCAATAAACTTTCTTGTATGTGTGTATTTACATATGTGTCCATATTACTTGTAGCTACTCGTCTCTCTCTCTAAAACATTCTCAACAAAATCCATGGATTTCTGTCAAATTGGAAATAACTTATTATACTCAAAAGTTTTTTTTTGCTATTATCAAAAAATTTGCTATTATTAAGATTGTAGGGATATTCTTGATATTTCAACATATTTGAGAGATATACATGATAGCTAAGGACTTCTTAGGTCAACATAACCACTTCAGAACTTAACCACCTCAATACAAAATGAGATTCTAGACCTTAACTTATTTGATTGAAAAGATTTTTCGTTCAAAGTAATAACTTTCAGAGAAATAATATTTACATAGCTTGTAAATATATTTTAATAATAAAATTTAAATAAATAAAGACTACAGAGAATACTTGAGTGCAGAACACAACACAACGGCAATGATAACCAGCAGTTGACATGAAATATTCAGATCGAAAACTGTGTCTATTAGTCAACATATATTGTAGTGAAGTACAAAGAAACCTCTGGTTATTACAGCGGTTAATATGCATTTTGTTAAAACAGGCACAAACTGATTCAATCGGCCATTTACACCACAGCTGCAAATACCATCTCAAGACTTCGAGGTATATGTAGAAGTAATCAAGGGCTACGTAGAAATCTTGCTGAGGCTACTCATATCTAAAATTCTAACATCCAGTGTATCGTCCAATCTCACAATGCCATCTGCTCCATCAATACCCATTAACTTTCCCGTGCATCCACGATGTTCACCAGAAACAATCTTGATTTTGTCAGTCTTTTTAGGCAAAACGAGATCCATATCTCCTTGGCCGACGAGTAAAATATCCCCATCACCAGTTGGACCCAAAGCTACTCGGCAAGAACCATCCTGGAGGTGCACACAAATACGAAGTTCAGTTTGCGGTGACTAAAAATATTGTAACTATTTGATCACTCTGAAATTCCAAAAACATCAATATTATGTTTCACTTAAACAAAACAAGCTTGAGGGTTAAAAGATATTTGTTTATGCACCAGAAGAGATCAAATCTCTATTAAACAAGTTTTAGTTTCTTAAAGAAAGAATTATGTAGCTAACAATATTAGGACCCAATAGCTCTTACCGGCAATACTTCGCGAATTACCGCAGTTTGAGTTTCTTCACCAATCTTCCTAATCGTAACCACTATATCGGGCATCACCCATCCACCTTCATAATCAAAACCACCGCCAGAGCCTGCAGATACAACCAGTAAGATATTTCAAGATGGGAAAGGTTATGACAGAAAGACTTTAACAAAATAGCTGTTTGACCATTTCTTTTTCGACTTTTATCAAAGGAATTCTCGAAAATATTGTACTTTAGTAAACAGAAATCGCCATGTAACATATAGATAATAAATACATAAAACTCAGGTTTGTAGAACATAGTTGATATGCTCACCAATGGCAGGCGAAGTAGGATCCAGCCCTCCAGTTCCAGGTGTCATAGGTTGCCCACCAGGAGTACCTGGAAGGTATGATGGAACACCTGGTGTCATAGGAGGGCCTCCAGGTGTACCTGGCAGATAAGGGCTTGGAGCGGCTGCCAGACAAAGAGCTCGTAATAAGCAGAAGCATCGAAGATACATAAGAAACACGAAATACTGGAAAACGCTTGCCACCTTTTCATCCCATAATTATAACATTCAAGATATAGAACAGTCACAGCAAGAAACAAAACAAGGCAGAATGCAACGAAAGGAAAATTTTCAGCTTCGATAATGTTGAGGGTAGAATTACCATATGATTGAACAGGTTCAGTAGGAGTCCCAGCTTCACTAAAGCTGGCACCAGGAGTTTGTGCTGACCAACCATTCCCTGGTGTGGGTGCCTCAAATGGCCTTCCACCAGGAGTCCCGGGCTGCAATCAAAATTGAAATTAACACCTAAATTAGATTAGAACAAGAAAAGTGGACTGACAAGATGATAGGATCAGAGTCTATAAACACCGAACAGACCACACTTAAAAATCGTAAAAGAAACTCATCATATCGAATGTAAGCTGAAGGCAAGCCAATACTGTACCCACAAGAAACTACCAGAACATAAAGGTAAAAGATAACAGTTAAACAAACAGTGGCTAAATTTTTATATCCATAAGCTATTCTAGGTAAACCATCAGTCATCTAACATGCTCGGCATCTTTCTTGAATTGAGAAATATCAACACAAAGGTTGTTACTTACCTCATACTGAGGAGTTGACGTGTGAATATCCCAAGTGCTAGGATTAGCATCATCCCAATTGTTGCCCCTACACAGGCAACAGTCATAAGACACGCACAAAAGGACCAAAAAATGTGGACAATCTTAAAAGCACAGCAAGTCAGAAGCAAAAATTGTATACTCTCTCACATAAGCTAACAAAATAGCAACTAATGCATTAACATAATAATTCACCAAGTGAGAAAAAAAAAATAACATCCGTGAACAAATTAAGTGAGAACCTACCTATGTGGAGTCATTGGAGTATGGGGATTCCACGCCCTGTCGCGCATTGGGGTTCTCATACCATCAAGGCTAGGAGTAGCTGCAAGAAATTCCACAAAAAGTAGTTACTTAGATCATCAATAGAAATGCCGAAATCGCTCTCAATATTTATCATGCCTCGCTTGGACATGACAACCGATATAAGTACCTACCTGCCTTGACCATAAAGCAGGTAGAAATAACACGGCGTAATGGTGGGATTGATATACCAAAGTTAGGATCCCGCATGGGGGTCATGAAAGCAGGATGATGCATTGGCGTTCTGGAAGGATGCATTGGAGTCTCACTACCAGCTCCATAACGAGGTGACTCCCTGCAATTTATTCATATATTTTTAAAATAAGTATCTAAAAAGAATGAGAGCAAACATTATAAGCAAAAGGCTAACAAAAGAAGTCAAAATGAATCAATCCATTGCCCTAGTAAATAATTACATTCAATCATGATTTCTAGTAAAAAGTTCGTTCTCAAGTGAAACGTAACCCTGACAAATGGAACTCACCGATGGTTGCTGTAGAACCCTGTTTGAGACTCACCAGGATCCGATAACTGCTCTCTTCTCACTGTAGATCAAAAAATAATAATGGGCAATAATGATGACCATCTTCAAAACATGATGTAGCTTGAAATACTTTGGTCAGCTCAAATTATAGCATATCTCTAAAGACGTCTCAAGGACTAATAGATGCACTTAAATGTAATAAGCAAAGTCGTCAGACACCAACAATTCCATATTTCCAGACCATGAAGCGCAAGTATCTGTTGGAGAACATACCCGTAACAACTTTCATTTGTGACTCCAACTCGATTCGCACAGTCGAATCAGTAGCGTCTTTAACCCGACCACGATATCCCTTAAACGGTCCCAAGCGAATTTTCACAGACCGTCCGACTATACTGTCCTCTCTCCTTCCCCTTCCTCCTCCTCCTCCTCTTCCTCCTCCATACCCACCACCTAACTGTCCCCCACCACGACCACCGCCACCACCTGCAATTTTGATAACCAGAAAACCTGTTACATTGGTTCAAGGTTCATCTCAAATAGAATTTTTTACAAAGAACAGTCCGTCAAGCCATTGAACAGACAACCACAAACTAATACACCCACAGAATAACACGCATCATTTGAAGCATAGCACAACATGGTAACAATATGTAAACTTACCATGACCACCAAAAGGGGTATCTCTTCGTGGAGACTGAAGAACATTCCCGTTAAGACCGAAGGAACTCAAATTTGACACTGATCCTCCATTCCTCTGCAATAAGATGAGCAGAAGCAGCAGTCAATAATAACACTTACGAATAAAAGTATCCTTCGCTCTGATAGTCGGATAATATAATTCGTTCTACTTTGGACATATTGAACTGAAAATGCTGGTAACTTATCTAGACAAAATTATCAGGGTCAAGTTTCACATGTGATGACAACCAACCTTGCAAACAATTTAGAGTAAGAACTTACTCTGTCACTTCCATTTCGAGATCCACCTAAAGCTGTACATTGACGTGCTTTGATACATACATAACCCCCGTTTTCCAGATGATGTCGGTCATGTATAAATAAGAGTCCCCTGTGGATATGCTCAACTGGACCTTGCTTTCCCTACAAACAGTTGACAAACTGACGTTCAGCGCCATTGGAGAACCACTGTTCCATTTGATGATAAGATTGAAAGGATAAGGCATAGCAGTAAACGTGTTTAACAACGAAAAAAACAAAAAACAAAGGACACAAAAAAGACTGCATCTAATGTTTAAAACCGCTCCAGTAAAAATATGCCAGCAAAACCAATGCCGCTAGAACCAACCTGGAAAAAGCGCATAAAATATACGTAATTGAATAACCACCCTGTTACTTCATGACCAATGATGTTCCTACTCGCTGCATCATATTTGTTTCCCATAAACTGGCCACACTAACCAACTCATCGATGCGTGCAAGTGTTGACATCCATATCTCAAAGACAATCATAGAAGTCATACTTTAATTAACCAAAGCTTTACCTTAAATTGCCCATCCAGAACTCGCACGACATCTTTAAGACTAATCACGTTCATATCACGATCTTGAGTATTAACTTTTCTGTCGAACACCTTTCTGCGGATATCTCTTGGCTTCACCATCAACAATTCAATCCTTTCAGGATTGCCCTTCAGAATCTGCAGATTTGATAATAGATCAATGGTCAAGACCTGCAACTGTCCATTCTGAATGGGTTGAATACTCCAAAATAATTTCATGTTGGGGATTACAATAGCTACGCAAAATCACAACAGGTGCACATGAACAAGAGGTCGGAAAATCCCGTACTTGAAAAACATCTTTTTCCACTCGGACGATAAGTCCAACAGTTGAATGACTGCAAAATCAATCCACATCGATTCTCAAGTACGGAAGAACAGAATAAGCAAACCAAGTCGATACAAAATACAACATATGAGAATATTACATCACAGTAGCTGACTACATTAGGTGTCCAAAATCCTACTGTCATTTGATACTACAAAGAACAGACAATAGTGGCAAGGAATAACCAATGCTCATGAGGCTCGTAGTATCTCTTATGTTCACACAAAAGTCTATGAAGACGTACTCGAGGGCAACAAGATCATGCAACTCATAATCGCCTAGCTTTGTAATGCCTGAAGTTACTTCGGAACTTTCCACAATATTGTGCGCGAAGACACGAAGCTGCAATTACAGGAATCCACCAATGATTAAATTTACTGAAACAATGGAAGGCCTGGCTACGTATTACAAACTAAGATAACTAATCTGGACTCATGTGCTTACAAAGAATCATGAAGTTCTTAAAATTTATAAAAAGAAACTCTCATTGAACAGAAAGATTCTCAACAGCATTAAATACTCCCATGATTAAATCAAAGACTGTATTTACTATGCAGTACTCTTTTATAATATTTATATTATATGCAGTACTTTTTTATATTATTGAGTGGAGTTGCTCTGGTTCTTGCGCTAAGATACGTCTTACATAGTGTTTTTGAATTTCGGGAGTTGTTGAAGCTCTTAGTGCTAATCATGGGAGCTTTATATTATAATACTCAATAATATAAAAGAGTATTGCATATAATATAAATTATAATAATATTTAAGAGTACTGCATATTTACTTATAAATCAAAGACATGTGCCCGGTTTAACGACACAAGTGAACTTACATCTTCACGTGTAGTGTCAGAAAGAAGAGTGATGACATTATTTTGAACTTTTACAATCATGCCCGTAGCCCCGTCATGATTGCCAGCTATGACTTTAACATGATCACCAGTTTTGAAAAACTTCTGGAGCTGTTTCTCTTTGAACACTAAAGTTTCCTGAAATAAAAATACAAGGCATAATTACTAGGTAATGAGAAAAATCGCAAGAAGAAAGAGTAAGTAAACGACAGGAAGAAATCAGATTGATTATACAAACACCGCAAAGTCGAACCAACAGATACTATTTGAACATAGCAACGGACAAGACGAAGAAGAAAAAGAAGAAAAAAGGGGAAAAAGAGGAGGAGGGAAATTAAGGGTAAAGGAATGAATAAATTAACCCACTAACCTTCAAGTCCTTGTACTTTGGCACAATGTACACATTATCATCGTCAACTTTCTCCACCACTCCCATGAGATTACGCAAGTCACCCTCAATGACAACCACAGCATCTCCTTTCATAAATTTACCACGATTCTTAATTGCTGAAGGCGGAAGACCAAGAGCATCCATTCCATCTTCTCCTGGTTTCTGAAATCTTTGAAGTTCGTCGAGCGAGGGTTCAACACCTTTTGCATCAATAGTTTTCAGAGAGACATATTTGTAGAGATATCCATCCTTGAACATCATGCCTCCAAATTGGTCGAAAAGCTCCCCAGTAGAACCATCACGCTTGCGTTCAACAGGTATCCTCAAATCCCTGTTGACAACGACGTAAAAAGATAAATAAGATAGTGAAGTTATAAGTTGAATTTCTTCCTTAAAGTTAATTTAAAAGGTTAAAAGTCCTGCCAGAATAATCTGAAAAAATTACTGAAATCATGAACACAAGTTCTAAGAGGCTACATGCAGCAGGATAAATCTCAATAATTCGTCAACATTATCACACGTTCAGAGCCGTACTGTATTGAAACTCATTTAAAAAATTATTGAAGGCGCAACAAACTACATACTTTACATCTTGGATACTGATAAATCGAGGCGCAGGTCTTGGCCTTTTTTTCATGTCGTCACGTCCTTCCTGTTAACAAATGCATCAGTATAAAAATTTGAATGAATCTGCAATCCAATTTCGGACAAGCTTCTGAACCCCAAAAGACTTCAGGTAAAACTTAAAGGGAAATGAATTCGCTATATCAATTTGCCAACTACAAATGATAACCATGTACGTAATTTCTGACCAAGACCTGTGCACTTACAAGCTTTGCCGCTAAGGCTTGAAGATCAATTCTTGGAATGAGTTTGATTTGAGCACGTTGTCTCACGTGGTCCACATCCACCACCTGCATAACAGACAACATAACCTCAGGTTCATAAGACTCGTGAAGCCCTGGAACTAGAATTCACTCTCAAAGCCTAATGTAGTTTAATTCTGAATGTATATAGTCTATCCCATAAGATTCAAGAACAAAAAGCTGATCCTTCATAAATAGACTGAAGTCAGTGATGCAGTTAGTTGACTAGGCGGCATGCATAACAATGGGGAGAGGTAAGCACCATATACCTTAGCAAGGTCACCTTTATAGATACCAATCTTAACCCGAACCCAAGTGTCTTGATCAATTTCCACCAACTTCTTCTCAACGGACACAACATCCGTCATTTCTTTGATAGGTACTAAGGTGACTTTCTGACTGTATATCATCCGCATTCCTCTGCAAGCCTGCCTCAAATAATTATCCAGTCATGTCCTGAGCCTTGACTCCACAATCAGCTGCTACAGAAAATACTGCAGTTATAGTAGCAATATTCTAGATCTTATGCTTAGGAAATTAAAAAAACAAAAACAAACATAATAGAAGCACCATTTTTATAATAAGAGATTTCTGAAAGAAAAAAAATTGTAACATTCACGGTTGGAGGAAGACATCAAGTCCGTGTAGTTTTACCTGTCTTACATAAGCTTCTTTCTCAGATTCTATGTATAGGTACCCTTTCAAGTGGTCCAAAGCAATTGCTGACTTTATCAAGAGTGGTTGATTGATTTGATCTTGATCGATGTACTTTTGCATGAGACAAATCGCTGCTTCACGCTCATGTCCTAGCTGCACACCAGAGAAATGCATATCAACATATATAGAGAAAAATAAACTGCTTTCAAAATAACTGCTTTCAAACTAATAGCTAATGCAATGCATTTAAAATGATGTAGCCAAGTTCCAGTCGAAGAGCACAGTGTATGACGCTTACGTTGCACTTCACCATCCACAGCTTAGGATCCTTTACAGAAGGAAGTAAAGCTTGTTGCTCCACCTCCGTAGTTTCGGCTTCATCATATTTTTCGTACTCCTGAAATGTAATATAATATTTTTTTTCAAATTTATCATGAAATACGACACGTACATTGCAACCTCGCGACAAAAAAGGAAAAAGAAACAGAAAAAGAAACGGCGGCTTTGTTGGCATAGCAGGTCTGACTAGAAAGTGATGTATGACAATTGATACAAATGCACTCACAGGTTGACGAGATAAAATAATACCTGCCGTCCATAACGTTGCTGGATATATCTTTCAAGACCCTCAACATCCTCTTGAGCGTCATCACGGATAGCTGCGCGATGGTGAGGCCGGCGAATTTCTTCGGCGCCGGGTGAAACATCTCCTCGCTCAATAAAATCTGTTCCAAAACTGACACTTGCTCAACAAATTTTTTTAAAACATGAAATTCAAACACAAAGATTGTCTTGTCTTCTTCCACATCCGAAAAAACTAGTCTCAATTTGTAAGCACAAATTAAAATCACAGCTAATATAAATTCACTAAGATGCTAAAATAGAATACAAACATGAGAAGACAGCTGGTCGCACATCCAACTATTTCATGAATGACAATACCTTCCTCTTCCTCTTCCTCCTCTTCGTCTTCATCACTAGCCACAGCTGCAGTGTCATCTATGAACTCCAAACCCCGACGGTGTTGTCGCCGCTTCCTGGGTGCTTCGTCTTCCTCATCTTCATCATCATCTTCCTCGGCAACATCATCTATAAATTGTGAACCCTGATTGTTTCTCAATTAACAAATACGCCCCAAGAATCAGTCAAGATGGGATCATTTTGTGCCAAATATACAATCGACAAGGAATGATAGCCGGAATGCGAACTTCTGAACACTTAAATAGAGTTTTCAGTTTTGAATTAAATCTAAAGGGGACTTCACAAAAAAAATATAGAAATAAAATAAATACAAAAAATCCAAAAAACTAGTGATCAGCTACAGTCAGCTCCTATCAAAGAGAAATAAGCTCTCACTCTGTACAGGACCATCACAAATTTCGCGTACATATAATTCATGAATTGGTTGAAATTGATACACTCGCACGCATTGCCAAAAGCTACCTAATTAAAGAATCGAAGTAACGTAATTTCCAACGAGATATAATTTTGACGACTCACGAAGAATGCTGTTGTGAAACAAACAAACAAACAAAAAAATTCTAATCCCACCTAGAAGCCAAGGAGACGCTGACACTTTCAGGAATGGAATCGATGGAATCATGCATCAGAAAACTCGAGGAAACCATAATTGCAAATGTGAAACTCTCTGTAAGAATCTAGACCTTGTATTTCCGCTTCCGACCTCGCTCTTCCTCTTCCTCCTCCTCTTCCTCCTCCAAATCTTCTCCATCTTCCTCCTCTTCCTCCTCTACTTCCTCCGCCTCAGCTTCTTCCTCATCGACCTCCTCGGCTTCATCATCGTCGTCGTAATGCTTCGCCATTGCAAGAGTCTGTTGCTGTATTAAAAATAATTTTTAGAAAAAAAAGAAAAAAAAGGCTAAATCGTACCTCGTGCACGCCACAACACCCTGATGCGCGCCGCTACCAAAGGGATCGAACTACTCAAACAATATAGAGCAGGAAAGAAACTAAGAACAGCAACACCAAATCTCTGGCACTATGGATTGAAAGAGTTGTAAGCGAGCATAAGAGCTCGATTAAGGGAGACGCACTATACGACCGCAATCATAACAACGCGTCTCTGTAACTGCAACTGCCCGTAATATTACAATGCCTAAGGCCCTCGTCTGTACAGACTACGCGTAAAGGGTTTCCAATCGCCTCGCAAAGCACGAAGAGTCAGATAAACACCAAACGGAAATTCATCGACTAAAACCCTAACACCAAACAAAACCCCGCGATTCCAATACACCAAAGCTTACGTGACATCTCACGAAAACGAAACCAAAAAAAACTCCAAAACACATAAAAACGCTCCAAAGACTTACCGCCGGTCCGAGAAACCGAGAAAAGTTCACAAAACTAGAGTTCCCAACCTGCGGGTCTGTTTCTCCCAAGAAATGATCAGGAAAAATGAGGCAAACAGCACCGCTATGCTTCCGGTGAATAGCTGAGGCGAACGACAGTCCTGATGAAAGAGAAGAGCGCACGCATCAAAGGGTGGTTTCAAGGGCATGAGATAGAGACAGGAAGGCAAACCCTAACTCGCCATGACCAAGGCTGGAGCCCGAGCAATAGAATGACCCGACTACCAACAGGGTAATCTAGTGCAAGAGCTTTCTGGGAGTATGAGCTTCGTCCCATGCCGCCTTGCCAGAAGCCTCAGGCTGTGGTCACATCGGCCGAATGCCACCAGCACCATCGCTAATAAGTGTCGCTAAACCTGGTGAAACATGGTGAAATCCCTCGCAACATCCGCATTCTGCTTTGCTTTGCTTTGCTTTGATTTCCCTTTCATTGTGCTCATGTCTTGTTCTCTGTGGCCCTCTTTGACTCCCTTCACAGTCTCCCCTCCAGTTTTCTTAGGTAGGGGTGGTGTCGCTCTCCCCACGCCCTCCATAACTTTTACATACGATTTCTCACCCCATAACCTTGAAGATTAGCAGAATAAATTTTTACAAACGCATGAGAAAGTTTTTATTACGATGTGACATTACAATTGTCCACAAGCATTCGAAAACTTAATGATGTAAATTGTCATATTTGGAATGACGTCAATACTTACTATTGGTATATGATTGTACTATAGATGATGTACTAAAGAAATTTTAATTATCTATAGTGTATTTGGTTCTAAATTTTACTTTCAAGCGATTGGCTATTCACAGCTATTTGAAAAAATTGTTTGATAGTCTCTAAAAAGATTAATTGAACAAGTGTATGTATGTATGCATGTAAAAACTATAATCCAATAATTAATTACTATGTTTGAAAAATTGTTCAGACAGAAGTAGACAATTTTGGTGTAAAATCTTGTTATCAATAAATTTTGAACTGATGTTAAATTATAGTTCTAATAATTATTGTATTGTTATTCAAATGTAAAGACTCTAGGATTATTATATGTCACTTAATAAAGAAATAACTGATTGTAGGTATATTGACTTTCAAACTATGTGAAATTTAGAGTCCTAAGAATAGTTATATTGATCAAATTAATTCGAATATTCTACAAAATTGTCATACTTCATTAAACTAAAATTTGATAATTTTTTAACTATACAATAAAATCATTGTATTCAAATAAGTATGTAAAGATGTAAACTGAATATGAAATCTAATTTGTATTTTATATATTTTGAATTGATTTTTTCTATTTGAAATAAATTTTATGTATATTAGATTATACTAAGTATTAGATATAAATATGTAAAATTAAAGTCTTTCTTAATAAATATTTTAGAAAAGATGTTTAGAAAAAATATGTACTTTGTATATTTTGTTATAAAAAAATATTTAAGAATTCAAAAAGTAATAGTGCAAATATGTATTTAAATTCTTCTATCTCTGTTTTTTTTTGTAAAAAGTGAATAAAAAAATTAAATATAGTGAAATATTAAACAACATAACAATATTAACAACATTAGGATTCTAGTAGATAAAATCTTCATACTAAATATTAGAATGGACTAGAAGCTAATAAGGTTATAACAAAAATAAAAATCTGGAATTATAATAGTATACAATATTCCATCTAATAACCTTATTAGGTTGTTAGATAAAACATTGTATATTATTTTGTTCTTATTGACATCATTCATTGAATTTATCAAAATTATATATATTTATGTTGTAATTTGTAGTAAAAAAACTACATTAAAGATGATTTTTTATTATATTTTTACAACAGTTAAACTACAACACAATGTATATATTACACCATACAATATTTCATATAAATGCATATGAAGTGCCACATAATATAATATCAATATAAAAGAACCTTAAAATAGATTATTCAAATTAAAATTTATAGATTAAAATTTTTAAAATTAATTTAATGAATATATATATATATATGCCACATCCAACTACTAATAGATTGAGCCAATCATAAAAACTACAAATTCCACAAATTAACTAAAATAGAGTTTTGTTTTTTTAATGGATTATATAAAATCTTCAATGCATTTTTGATGGAAATATCTTTTGATGTGTATCTAATTATGATAGATTTGACAATCTGAGCTTTGGTGGCTTAAGTAGCCAAATCTTTGTTGTACAAATAAAACATACTTTGCAATAATTTTGGTTGATTTTACAATATATGTAAAAGTAAAATGTATGTTGAATACTAACAAACATATTTCCAATTGCTTTTATAATTATATTATTAAATAACTTCTTCTTGATCCTACTCGCAATAAGTTTGGAAACCAATAATAAACCATAAGTTAGATTTGCTTGCTATTAATATTTACATATTTGGTGTTATAATTAAATAAAAATTCTATCAATTGATCTTGCAATAACAATTTATTCCAAACTTTTGTTGGAAAGATTGACTTCAAACAATACAAATTAATGCATATGAGCTAGATATTAAGTAGTTTCTGTAAATAAAATATATAAATAAATAAAAATATAGTGATATCAAAGTCAATACTCTAAAATAGATAATTAATTTATAAAAATATTAAGCAAGAAAAAAATCAAAGAACTTAGACAAATATCTTTAAAAAAAATTGGCTTGTTTTTGTTTCTAATTGTGGCTAATACAAAGTTATTTTAGAATATTCATTTTCCTTGGAATTGTACTTTGCATATAATGATGCCTGTAATTTATACTTTCTTTGATGACTGTAGTGATAGTATCTATTGCTTGAATCATACTATTTCTATTGATTAATGATTGATTTCTTGTTGTATATACTTAAGTATGAAAAGAATGTAAAAAATGATATACTATGAATCTACCTCTAAGTAATAGCATATACTTCCTTCTTAAGCAAGGTGACAATTTTTTGCATACTATTGATGTATTGATAATATAATTTTTTACATATATATTTATATTATCAATACATCAATAGTATTTATCTAAATGAACTAGCACGTTACTTAGTGGGATTTATGTCTACTTAGTCTTGATTAGAACACATGGTCTTTGTCAACTTCTTCAAGACCATGTGCAATATCAAATCTACAACCTTGACTATTAATAAGAAGTACACATCTTCATGTTTTTTTATTAATTCAATAAATATTCATTTCTGTACTTAGTCATACTATATTATTTTAATGTATAATTCTAAAAATAATTATATATTTAGAAAATTGATAATATAATCTATGCATTGGTAAATTCTATGAAAATATATTATATTTCTTAAATCCAACTATAAAATCAAAAGTGAATGCAATTGCAATCACTAAAAAAAAATCTATTAAAGAATCTTCCAATATAATATTTTTGCAATTCTAATCATTGGTGGCAATTCTACTAGAGGACTTTCAAATATATTATTTATGTAGCTATAGCCTTTTGAAGAGATTTCATTGAAGGATCCTCTACAATAAAGTAGTTGTAATTGTAGTTATTAGGAGAAACTATATTAGAGGATCCTCTAATAGAAGATTACTATTGATGTAATTGCTAATGACATTTGGATTAGAAGATCATCCAATACAATAATTTTTTAGTTAGAGTCAACAAAAGAAATTTTATTAGAAGATCCTCAAATGCAATATTTCAGCAAGTCTATCAACCCTTGGTAATTTTATTAAAGATCTTCTAATGCATTTTTTTTCACTATAGTTATAATCACTAAAAGAGAGTCTATGAGAGGATCCTTTAACACAAAGTATATGCACCTACAATCACTTGTAGACATTCTAATAGAATATATATATTTTTAAATATTTTTGTAGGTGCAATTATTAGAAGAGACTCCATCAAATAATCCTCCAATGCCTATGTAAATATTTATTTCAATACAAAATAAAGACTTTAAGATGAGGCTATATATATATATATATATATATATTGGAGATATTAATATGTGTATTTAAATGCATATTATATATAAAATATGTAGTATATGAATTTTTTGTTTTATGATATTATATATTATGTATGTATATTAAATATTTTTTATGATATAATCTATTTATGTAAAAATTATTTTAAAATAATAATAATATTATTAAAAATTAATATATATTTATCATATTAATATGATTGAATTTTTGTATTGAAAAATAGAGTAATTTGTTTTAATAATTAATAATACAAAATTAAAGGATTAATTTAGCTTTATAACTGAATAACATGGCATTTGATTCATGTACTCCAAACACTCAAGTGTGCACATTAGGATAAGGTTTGTGCTACTTAAATCAACTTCCACAATCAATATGCTATCCTCTACCTCTACACTATCCATATTGTCTAAATCAAATCCATGTTATATAGTTCCACATATATATTAATAATTTTTAATACTTACATACTTTTACTATGGACACCTTGTCTTAAATATGTCTAATATTTCTTTTGTTGATTCTACATACCAATTACAATTAATTGTATGAAAAATTACATTCCATATATTTGTAACTTATCTTGAATTTTGAGGTCTTTAAATTTTTATATTTTCTTTTAGATATTTAATCACCTTGGTTTCTTAAATAGTTAGAAGTTTAAGATGAATCTTTATAATTATAAATTATATAATATAGTTTAATTTTTATTATTAATTTTTATTTCTAAAATATATTTATATTAAAAATTATTATTAATAATAAAAATACCATAATGCTTTGACTTAGAATATATGCAATTACTGAAATTCATCTTTTGTCAAATTCATTGGTTGCCTTTAAATTGTGATATATAATGATCCTTAAGAAGTAATTTTTAGAATAATATTTTATAATAATTAGTGAATGCACGTTCTTATTATTATTATTATTATTATTATTATTTATTTTAATGATATTTGGAGATTTGATATCTTGTTTATCTTAGTTGTATTTGGATTTGTAGACATATACTATATATTGCTAATATAGCAATGAATATAAATGATTTAAAAAAATACTATATAAACTAAATATAGTATTTTTATTTTTATAAATCTCTATTTATCTTTAAAATTAATTTTTTTACACAAAGTAAAAAATAAAAAAATTACTTAGTTTTACATAAATTTAATTTCAAATCCTTTATTATATATAATTTAGATTTTGAAATTCTTGAATGTAATTTTTAATGTTAAAATTTCTTAATTTCTATTAAATAAACCTGGTTCATAGTCAAAATTTTCAATTTTTTTTCTAAGATAGCATTTTTTAGTTCTTACAAGCTTAGATCAAAAATTATAATATATTTTTAATTTAAATATTAAAGACAATTTCGTTTGTATCTATAGATGAATAATTTTTGTGCATTTTATTTTATTAATATAACACTTATTATAGGAAAATT